AAACTCTACCCTGCAGCAAATGAAAAAAGGGTTTTGAAAAATGAACTGTTTGATAGTCATGGAAACAATAAAAAATGATGAAAATTAGACTAAAGAACAAGCGATAATTCATGAAAAAACTATAATTTATAAAAAAAATGCTTCTTGAAATCCCTCATGAGCCAATGTTCATTTGTGAAAAACTTTAATGCAGATTCAGAGGGAAAAACTTTAATGCGGATTCATAGGACAGGAAAAGGCTTCTTCCACGCTAAATGATGAGACAAAATTTATACGTTTTGAAACGAGAATTTCTCTTGAAAATAGGAACTCAGCTGATTGCCTTTCACTAAAACTATTGAATTTGCAAGATACTACCATTAAGAGGATGTAATTAGAGTCAGATGGGCTTCAGAGTGAAAACTACCTCAAAGATATAAAGATATATTCTCGTACCAGTAAGAGGCAAAATCACAACAAACAGAAAGTTTAAAATCTAAAATAAAAAACGTATGCTTCTAAATGCATAATAAAAATTGGTTTTAGAATGACATGTTTAAGAAAAAAAGTATGACGACTTCTAGTGGAATTTGATTTGCATTCAACCAAATTAGTCCTAAGGGCAGTTTCTGCTAAAAGTTAGAGAAACATTATCAGAAATTTTACCCAATCATCATTAAGTTACTCCACTCACAACCAAGATCTTATTTATACTGACAATTTAATTTGCTTCAAGAGACTATTTATCGTTTCTTTTATTGTTTTTTACCATAAACTTGTTGTAACGTACATTAATGCTTCAGAATTGAGGATATTCTGGAGCAGACCATTAGGAATCATTTTGAAGCCTATAAAACATATTCATGGCAAAGCATCCTCAACCTGGAAAGTTTAAGCATATTTGATATAGGATGTCTGAGCATCTAAGGTTCCTTGATAAATACTTTAATTTTGATGTACAATTTTATTACTTATTTTGGACAAAACTAGTTTTTTTTATTTTTGGATAATAATTTAAGATTCATTCATATTTGAATTTCTATGATGATTATATAACACAATTGACATTTTATTTTTTAAGAAAGAGGTTACATAACAAAATTCAAACTTAATGACTACCAAACTCAAACTTCATAACGTTCGAGCTTGTTACTATATCTAGGCAACATATAAAATGATGGTTGCATTGTGTTAAAGCATCCGACAATCAAAAAGCAACATAAAGAAAAAAGGAAGAGAAAAATAGATGAGAGGGGGTGATAATTGACACACAAATTTTTAAAAAATGTCAGGTTGTGACAAGTTTAGTTTCAAGAGGGAAGAAGTGTTACTATTTCTGTACTAGAAAGAAAAGATGCTCTTGTTTGGACTCTCGTTAAAAGGAGTGAATAGAATAACTAACGTAATTCATTTTTTAAGTCCAACAATTAATTGTAATTTCTCTAAACTAGAGAAAATAATATACTTGTCGATATGTCACCCTTTGTATGAAGTATAATCACTCAACTACCTCTTTTGAAATTTAAGGGATTAATAGAGCTTACATGGCCTGGACAGAAATATGCTCACTTAAGCCGAACAATGAATTTCTTTATTTTTTTTATGTGGTTGATATATTTTGTAGTTATTTTGTAATTTAGTGTACAAATCTTAAGGTCAAGGCACATTCTCGTTGCTGAAAACTATATTAAAGCCAAATTATGAAAAGTACTTTGGTGATGAAGATTAAGATTGAGACTGTTCAAAGATTTTAGCCTTTGGAAAACTAACATGAATTAGTGTTTTTGTAGAACATGTTCTTATCAAAGCACTTATAAGGAGTAGCAAATACCAAAAAACATGAGTGAAAAAGACAGGACAGATAAATGAGAAAGCTTTCTAACTGATCTTGATGTATTTAACAGATGAGATATTGATAGAGGTCTTAGAAAACAATTGCAAGTTTGTGGCTCACCTCGAGGCTATTGAGGCTATGAAGTACGGACACAGACATGAACACGTCACAACACAATACGTCGCACGACATAATTACGAAAAAGTTGGATACAATACATCATGGACATATTTTTATATGTAAGAAATTATTAATATAAAATATATATTTTTTTCACTATTCTTGACTAAATACATCACAAAATAAAATATAGAAGAATAAAATTTTTAACTTGTACTATGAAACTTCAATTTATAACGATCAATTATTTTAAAATTAAACACATTATATGTTTCAAAAGAATTCCTCCAACTTATCTACTCAAATTTAAAATATCATACAATTACACATTCAATTAATTAAGTTAAAATTTAACTTTTAGAATCATAATAATTAAAAATTATAACTATTAACTCATTACAGAGTACGTAAAATAATTATAAATTATCACTTTCAGAACTAGGACGGCTTCGACTCCACTCGACTTTGATGAAGGTGTAAACATATTATAGGCTTCAACACAAGCATCGTAGGATTTGGCGTGTTGTGATGGTATATATATATATATACATATATATACGTACATGTATATATATACGTACATGTATATATATACGTACATGTATATATATACGTACATGTATATATATACGTACATGTATATATATACGTACATGTATATATATACGTACATGTATATATATACGTACATGTATATATATACGTACATGTATATATATACGTACATGTATATATATACGTACATGTATATATATACGTACATGTATATATATACGTACATGTATATATATACGTACATGTATGCTCGAGGAATTACTCTGCCGACCCCGTCGACAATTACAGGAAAGCTCTCTCTCTTGCTCTCTC